TTTCATAATCATAATTCAAATAGTTACTCTATTAACTCTTAGGGAGACGACCTAGGTTGTGTTTTACTATAAAATTTAGTTTTTATTAATTTTGGTATTATTTAACAATAGTGTCAGTGCCTAAGTTCTTGCAATTCCTTCTTGAAAGAGGAAGAAAGGGAAGAAAATAAAAGAAAATGGAAACCATTAACGTATTTTCTAAGAAAATAATAAATTAGAATTTATTCAAATCTATATGTACATGTACTTTTCTTACATATAGATTTAGCCTATCAGTTTTTGATATAGTAAACAAATAAAGAATAGCCATATATATATATATAGAGAGAGAGAGCTCAAAATGTACGAAGACAAGGAAAAATTGCAATGAGGGGTGATAAGAGTCAATATTTATTGTGGGCCAATAAAATGTAATATTTATTTATATATTGTTATTGGCTGGAAGGAGTTAAGCTCCTAATTGATACTATATTCTATGAAAATTTTGTTGTAGAATTTTCAAGAGATCCTATTTACAAGAAAAGTTCTGCAAAACTTCTACAAAAATATTGAAGTCTTGTTATGACAATAAATATTAAAAGTGTTAGAATTTTTATATAATCTAATTATTTTTTAGAAAATGGAATGAATTTTCATTTTAAGGTTTATGAAAATGCATAATGTAGTTCACACCCATGTCGATCACCTTCTATTTTTAGGGTGTGACAATTTTGTTATCAGAGCCTAGGTTTTATATAGCTATATGGAGTAAAAACTTTTCAGTGGGGTCTCAATTATCATTATAACCCGAAAAAAATTATAATTGAGACATCATTGAAGGTTTTATAGGAAGTCTTAGAAGCTATTTGTTTCTTGTTATTGATTTCTTTTACTGTATAGAATTGTATTTTAAACTATATATTTCTTTTGTCTCCTTATATAGTAAAACATGCCACCTAGACGTTGAGTATCTACTATGAGTCCTACTAATGATTGGGCTTTTGGTAAAACTTTATCAGCAAATGATATGCCCTTAAAAGGTAAGGGACTGCATCAAAGTAGGATTAGAGCTAGAGGTGGCCGAACCCTTAAGTTCCTCCAAGACATTCCTTTCGAAGTTGAATGCTTAGAATCTAAGTCTGAGGAACAAACTGTACCCTCTATACATGTTATGCAAGATGAACCTTCTGTGGTAAAATTGTCATAATTTATGAAGCCAAGTCCACTTTCCTTTTTAGAAACCAATAGATGGGAGGACCTAATTGAATTTCCCAAATGAATTGAGAAGAGATGTTTAGCCTTGAGATGCCCTGATGTTTAGTATGTCGAATTTACAGCATTTTAGCTTCAAGGAGTAACGAGTACTTGGGCAAAAACAGTCTCAGGTCTGCATGCAACTAGAGTACCTTCTTTGACATAGGAAGAATTCAAAACTATATTTCTAAATCGATATTTACCTTAAAGTACTAGAGATATAAAAGTTGAAGAGTTTTAACTCTAAAATGCAGTAAAGGAATGTCAATTATAGAATATGATTAGAAGTTCATAGAGTTATCTTCTTTTGCTTCTCATATTGTATCGACTAAAGTAGAATGGATTAGCAGGTTTGTACATGGATTGCTAGTAGTCATACATGATAATATAGAACCTATATTAGATCGTGATATTACCTATATTGAGATTGTTGATAGTACATTGAGAATTAAAAATTGGTGTAAAGTAGAGGAAGTAATTTTTAATAAGTGCGAGAGAGCGATTGATGAGAAATTTCTCAATTCTTCTTCTGAGAGTCATTGATTTTAGGTTACTCTTACTTTCATGTCATGCAATCTAGACCTAAATTCTATGGTTCTCCGTCAGCAAGTACTCCTATCATGAGATCTAGTTTTAGTAATGTTAGGCCCCAAGCCCAATCCATTTCAAATCAATCGAGTTATACTAGAGTTCCTTGTGCTAGTTGTAGGAAATATCATTAAGACCATGCTATATGGTGTCTAGTGCATGCTTTGAGCATGGGCAATAGGCCGTTTGAAGAGAAATTGCCCTTATATCCAGACAATGTCCGGTTATGTATCAGTTCGACCTCTTCCCTACCTTATTTCGTCTTCAATCCTACTTGTTTGGGCTACCCTTGCTTTAGCTAGAAGAGGTATGTTTAGAAGTAAAAATGGGAAGCGAGGATAGTCTTCTTTAAGACATGACACTGGTTAACTTCCATTATGCTACTCTTGATTGCCACTTGAAGGTGGTTGAATTTGGTATTCCAGGTGAAACTCCTTTTGTATTGTAAGGGAGTTTTATGAAAAGACTTATTAATTTTATTTGGATTCAATTGCCCAATAATTATTGATGAAGAGTTGTCAAAGTTCTTTAGCTTAGGAAGGGATATTGATAAGTTTGCTGTTAGTTTGGATCAAATCCCAATCGTTTGAGAATTTCCTGATGTTTTTCATAAGAATTACTTGGTTTATCACTTGATCAAGAGATTGATTCTTTCATTGATTTGGTTCCAGACACTTAATCAATTTCTATTCCACCTTATAGAATGACACCTTCTGAGTTGAGAGAACTATTAGATAAGGGATTTATTCAACTTAACACATTCCTTTGGGGAGCACCAGTGCTCTTGTGAAGAAGAAGAATAGATCATTAAGACTTTATATCGATTATCGAGAGCTTAATAAGATAACAGTGAACAATAAGTACCCATTGTCTTGAATTGATGATCTTTTTAGTCAGTTGCAAGGAGTGCAATGTTATTAAAATAGACTTGTGTATGAGTTATCACTAGGTAAAAATCAAGAAGGAGAATAGATCTAAGATTGCATTTAGAACTCAATATGGTCAGTATGAATTTCTTATAATGTCATTTAGGTTAACTAATGTACCAGTAACATTCATGGATTTGATGAATTAGGTATTTAGACCATTCCTTGATAAGTTCATAATCATTGTTGTTGATGATATTTTGATATATTCAAAGAGCATAGAGGAGCATGAATAACACTTGTGACTTATTTTACAGATATTGAGGGACTAACAACTTGAGGCCAAATTCTCTAAATGTGAATTTTGGCTTAAGAAAGTTACTTTGTTAGGGCATGCTGTTTCTAAAGATGGTATTCAAGTGGATCCAAGTAAAGTGAAAGTAAGGCAAAATTGGCCATGACCCATGACAATCACAAAAATTCACAGTTTCTTAGATTTTGTAGGGTATTATCATCATTTTGTAAAAGATTTTTCAAGGATAGTTACTCTATTGATGAGACTAACTCAAAAGAATATGAAATTTGAATGGGATGACAAGTGTGAAGATAGTTTTCAAAATTGAAGGAATTTTGACTTTAGCACTAGTTTTAAGCAAAGTGGAGTAGCATTTGAGATTATTGACAATGGAACATTTTCTAGCTCATATACAAACTCATTTTACTTTAATGGATCAAATTTAGAGTACCTAATTTTTAGATCTAAAGTTATGCAAGTTAAAGGAAGCAGTCATACTAGAAAGTAATACTGAGTTTGTAGTTGACCAGGAAGGGATATTAAGATGTGATAGTAGAGTTTACGTACTATAAGAGAAAAAGCAACCTATCTTGGAAGAGGCTCATCATTCTGTATATACTGTTCATTCAGGAGCAATAAAGATGTACTAGGATCTGAAACAATTGTATTAGTGGGATGGCATAAAAAATAGAAAAAACAGAGAGAAAGATGTAGCAAACCTTGTTTTATGTTGTCTGACATGCTGACAAGTTAAGGAAGAACATCAAAAACCAGCTGGATTACATCAACAATTAGAGACGCCATAGTGAAAATAGAGAATATAACAATGGACTTTGTTAGTAGGTTACCTCGTATAGTAAAAAGATATGGTTCTATTAGGTGATTGATTAAGTTAGCTCATTTCATTCTAGTAAAGATGACTTATAATGTTGATAAGTATACTCAACTGTATATTGATGAGATTGTTCAATTACATAGGGTTCCGATGTTAATAATTTTGGATGGAGGTTCTTAATTCACTTCCCAACTTTAGAGGTAAGGCACTCAGCTAGATCTTAGTATACTTTTCATCTACAAATCAATGGCGAGTCTAAGATGACTATTCAAATTCTAGAAGATATGTTACGGTCTTGTATTTTAGATTTTAGTAGTAGTTGGAATTACTACTTAGCTTTAGTAAAGTTCATTTACAATAACATTTATTAAGTTAGCATATGAATGGCTCCATATAAGGTAGCAGGTGATGTAGATCCCTTATTGGATGGTTTGGTATGAGTGATGCTAAGCTTTTAGGATCAGATCTAGTGTAAATGTAAAACAAATGAAAATAAATAGATAAAGATTAATAACAACTCTAAGTCAACATAAGTCTTATGTTGATAATCAATGTTAGGAGTTGGAATTCATGGTCGGGATAAAGTGTTTCTCAAGGTCTCTTTTTGAAAGGGGTAATGAGATTATAAAAGAAGGGTAAGCTAAACTCAAGGTATATCGGTTCATTTGAGGTCTTAGAGAGAGTTGGCGTAGTTGCTTATCATTTGGAGCTGCCATCTGAATTGTCGAGTATTCATCCGGTGTTTAATGTATCAATGCTATGAACATACTTATATGACCCTTCTCATGTGATGGAAATTCAAGAAATTCAGATCGACCCAGATTTATCATATGAAGAAATTCCTGTGGCTATTTAGGTAGGCAAGTAAAGAAGTTGCGGTCGAAAGAAATGCTTTGGTGAAAGTGTTATAGCATTATCATTCTCAATATGAAGCTATATAGGTAGTCAAAAGTGTTATGCGTGCTAAGTGTCCACACCT